CAGTCTTAGGACTGACGACCTTATGATGATGATGTTAGACAATAATATAAATTCAGCTATAAATAGTGTCCAATTTTTAGTATGAATTTAATTAATGCTATAGTGATTAATTTTTAGAATTATTTCAGTTTTTTTAAATTAAAAAACTTAATCTTATGAAAACGAGCTCACTATATCTGTAAGACTCGGGGCCACGGCCCCCCTTATGAACCCTCCAAAAACTTCACTGCTTATATACTAAATAAATAGGTCAAACGTTTACCTGTTCATGAGAAAACGCCACCGTCTTCTTTCCAAATCCTTTGGGACTTTTCATAATCACGATATTATTCTCATTTTTATTTTTACTATTGTTATTATTATTGTTGTTGTTGTTGTTATTGTTATTATTATTTGTACCACAGCTGTTTGTAACACCACCACCGCTATTATTGTTCAAGTATATGCTTCCGATTTTGTTGTTGCAATCTTCCGCACTTTTTCTTACTGGTAAAATTTCATCCAGTTCACTATTCGCTACTTTACCGCCAGCCGTACCGCAGTAGGACTCACGGCCTTTAGCTGCTTGATGATAGGCCACCGCGGCCGTTTTGTCGTTTCCGTTTCCTATGGATAGTTTCTCGCCCAGCGCCTTATCTAGCTTGTGAATATCGAATTCTTTGCTGAAATATGCGCCTTCCAAGTCGTACCTCTTCGTCGGCCCGCCGCACGACGCCGTTGGGTGGTAAAAAAAATTTTCCCCGTAAATATTAACAGGGTTGCAAAAATTGACGTCCTGCTGCACGAACTGTGGCGAAAGTGATTCACTTGATGAACCCGACGGTCCTTCCAAATCCATGATATTGAAATTGTCAATTCTTCAGTCTTTCAGAGTCTGTTACGGCTTTATATAAACACACAAAAATTATTATAGGTACCTATTTTGTGAATTAGATTACTTTAGGCTAGGTTAGGTTATATTGCATAACAAAATTGGTACATTTAAGTCAAAATAACAGCTCCAGTTTAAAGAGACCATAACTTAAAATCTTTTTAAAAGTTGTTGTACTTACTGTCACTTAAAATTTATTAATTTAATCTTTTGGTTCTGCGCATTGCGTCTATGACAGATATTTTCAATTTTGCAGGGTGAATAATTTTTTAAGTAATTTTTAATTAGATATTTATTCGGCAATTAATACTTGTTTTGTTTGTTCACGGAAATTCTCGGGAAATGGACGATAAAACCCCTAGTGTCTATTGGCACCAATAGAGGAAAATACTCCTTTATTTTTACGGACTCCACAAGTATACCTATAGGTACTAGTAAAAATCATATTTTCGTTACCCTATTATTTCGTTGATAGACGTTTGTTTTTTTTAACTAAAAATTTTAAAATCAATATAAATGGTAGCATCAAAAATTGCCAAGATTGTTGGAAATTGATGAAAATTTTATAAAATAAAGGGGCGGTTTGTCTAGTAATAATCATTTAATAATCAATTATTTGGTATCAAACCTTGAAAATCTCAAAAACGTAAAAATTATTAGGTATAGATACTTTTTAATTAACCCGAATCTGTTGCCAAGATA